TTGTTATACCGGTTAGTAGTCCCCGCGGTTCTGTGGCGGAAGGTTGTGTGAAGCGCTGGCTGACCGAATTTCGGGTCTGAATGTTGTGTAAAGCATGAGCATTGTTTAGTGATATAACGTCAAAAATTCGGATATTAACATGCAATTCCCTGCCAGAAAATGAAAGACAAGGGAGGACATAGCAGCTCGGCAGCAGACAGCCACCACCACTGCAAGCATCTCGACGCGGAGGTTGAAATTCCCAAGTAAGTGCTTCTGTGTCTCAGACAGAACTGAAACATTCCTCCGCCTTGCACGAAGACCTGAACACACGATGATATCAGTCATTACTTTAAAGACAAAGCTGTATTCCAATTGTTGATCTCATTGTCATATTAGAGCTAGCAAGCTGATCTAATAACATTAATCAAATGCACAAAAACACGGACGCATACACGCATAAATGAGCATGATCGTGTTTCCACATAAACAAACCTAAGTGTACTCTCTCTCTCTCTCTACACACACACACACACACACACACACACACACACACACACACACACACACACACACACACACACACACACACACACACACACACACACACACACACACACAGGCATAGGAAAGGTGTGGGCGACCACCCCCAACTCAGAATGGAGGGGGGCGGGTCCCAACTTCTCCCACACATTACTTTCGGGGACATTTTCTGTAAACAAACAAACAGTGCAATTCCTTAGTTACTCAATTGTTGTGAACAATGACCCCTGCAACTGAGTGAACAGCTACAACTAGTCCGGTGTTTAAAATCAAATAACCGTCATGTCAAGTGATATCTAAATAAAAATGTCAGAGACTTTGTTGCAAAAATTAATGTTTATCTCATTAAGTAATGATTTTAACTCATTTTTTTTTGCACCAAAATCTTCTTATCTCTTCACAACGGCTAAAATCCGGGAGTTTCTGGGGTATTGCCCCTTGGTCCCCCACCGGAGCACTGCCCCTGGACCCCGCCAGGTGCCTGCAGCCCCAGGACCCCCGACTATTTTTTTTTTTGGGGGGGAATCTACTTTGCCTTCCCATTCATTCTTCATCTCGGCTTTCTCCCATTTCGATATGGGGTCAGCGTTTTGGATTTTAATTGATTTAGTAAATTAAATCAGCTAATGTCATGGAAAAAAATAACCAATAAAAGTGGCCACACCGTCAAATAGGGCGTATCAGGATGCATAGGGATGTAAGCCGCGTATCCTATACATGTAGACTGCACCTCGTAAACATGAGTAATCTGTAAATCTGGCCTCCATCTCCAGGCCAGAGAAAATCCTTCAACAGGTCCCTGAATAGACTGTTTATCCTTCGGCCTCACACTTTCAGCTAGAGCGAACTGCACTTTCAATAAACCATGGGGATACGTAATGGAAAAAGGCAAATAACATGAGGTGCAAGTAAAATGGTTTGTTTGAAATAGTTGACTTGGCAACATGCAATCACTCTTTGCTGTCTGTGATGCAGCTTGAAATGGGTAGATCTCATATTAGAGGATTTGCATGTAGATGATCTCTGGGCCGGCAGCTGCGGCGTGACTCGCTGCTGTGCTTCAGTGATTCGTCGAGTAGGTCCAGCTAGTAGAGTGGCCCAAAAACAAGGCTTGCATCCCATCCATACCCATGGCCTCACATTTGACCAGCCATAGTGTACTACAGTTATACAAGACAAAAAAACACACACACACACGCGCGCGCGTACATTCGTGCACACAATTGAGCAGTCTAATCTTGTATTTTTTCTAGAGATTTTAATTTTGTAATCTTGACAAATAATCTCACCAGGAACACTATGGTGGCCAGCCATGCGTGTGGTGTGTGTGGCACCGAGGCCGCACTAGTATGCGGAGGCTGCTCCAGCGTCTTCTACTGCGGCAAGGAGCACCAGAAGCAGCACTGGGGTTCTCACAGGAAAGAATGCCTCCCGTATAAAGTAGTTGCTTCTCCAGAGGCGGGAAAGTAAGTTTGACTTATCAGTAGATAGCTTGACATATAGTGCAGACTAACTAATTTTATGCTTTAATGGAACGTGGAGTATTCTAAAATATATGTTCTGTATGTGGCAGATACTTGATAGCGTCGAGGCGACTTCGAGAAGGCCAAGTCCTGTTCCAAGAGTTCCCCCTCATGATGGGTCCCGTGTCAGTCTCGCCTCTGGTGTGCCTTGGCTGCCACTGCGCCATCGAAGGCACCGACTTTCCCCGCTGTCCAGAATGCCACTGGCCATTGTGCTCATCGGCGTGTGCCTCTAGCAGTGTCCACCGGATCGAGTGCTCAGTCCTTGCCGCAGATACCAGGCGCATCGGCCCGCCCACAAGCCAAGGCCCGCCCACCCTCCGGTATGATTCCATTCTCTTGCTTCGCTGCCTTTCGTTGCGTTCCAACCGACCCTCTGACTGGGAGACAATGCTGGACATGGTCAGCCACGCAGGGCACTACCAGAAGGCGCAGGATACGGTCCACACAGTCAC